CAACCCCCATGAACTGTGATCTGGCCCAATATTCCAGGCAATGCTGTGTTCAGTCCCTGGGTGGCACAGCTTAAGTGGGAGATGGACCACCTGGAGGGTGTGGTTAGAGAAGGTAAGCCCTGATGATAGTGGCTGAAAATTATCGAACAACAGGGAAGCATTAGCCTGGAGAAATGCAGACTTGGCAGAGAAGTAATCATGGTCTTTAAATATCTGCAAGAGAGATCAGGTTTATTCTGTTTTGGTATTAGAAGGCAGATGTGGGCAATGAGAGGAAGTGATAGGGGACAAATGTTTTTGATAATATAGTGTGACTTGAATTTAAGTATGGACTGACTTTTGTTAAGGAATATTAGGAAAAGTGGTTCATGGGGAAATAGCTGCCTCACAGAGCTTTCCCAGAGAGTTTAGGACTACATAAATGTTTCATTCAAAAAGTATTGAGTTTTCATCATGTGCCAGATATCCTGGGCTCTGGCCAGACAATCTGAATCAGGCAATTAGCCTGGAATCCAGTGTGGGAAACAGACATATAAAAAGATACTTATAATACAGCCAGCTGCACTTGGCATACCACACATCATTCTAGAAGACAGTCATAGCTATTAATACAATATTAATGTGTTCTATTTATTTATTCATATATTTCATCACAAACACAATTAAGAATCTCATTCTTCTGAGATACAACATTTTATGAGCTCAGTGACAGAACTCTTTAAAGAAAATATAGTTGTCCATAACTAATATTAGGTTTTAAAAGGTAGAAGTAGACACGTCAAAAGTTTCTATTCAGCTCCTAGGAGAGGATCAGAAAGAGCACAGGTGCCCTGTATCCAAAATAATTCACTAAGTTAAAAAGGAGATGGAGTAATGGATGTCTAGAAATGCACAAAGGTTGTCTAAATACTCCCTGACCACCTGTCGCCTATTTGTGTCAATATTTATAAGCTAACAGATGAGGCATTCATGTGATGCCTGCATGTTCATTGGTTAAATGCTTGGGAGAAACCAGGCCCAAGTGGATCAGGGACACTCATGTAAGAGTTTTATGTAATGTATCTGAGTTTAGTGCAGAGACAACAACAGATACCTGTGAACTTGAGATCAGAGTGCAGGGGTTCCTAACCCAGGTGTGGGTGTGGGGTACGGAAGGAAGGGGAGTGGTCATGGGAATTAACAACGGCATGGAATGGAACCAGCCCAATGGATGGAAAGGAGACTCCAGCCAAGGCAGACCACAAAAATAAAGTCACACATGGATGAACTGACGTGGGGTGTGTGTATATGTGTGTATGTGCATGCCCTCACACAATGAGCAGTTCAGAAGTGCTTCAGAGCAAAGATGTGAGGTGGTGCCAGTGGTGGGATAGAGAAAAAGGACTTTTGCTCAAGGCTGAAAAAGTTGAGAGGAGCATGGAGACATCAAAGAGTGCTAGACTGGAATCATGGAGAACAGTGGGAGCCTGTGGCCAGCATCCCGGAAGAGGTACCATGTGCCTGTATTACTGCAATGGGCCCAGCATGGGGGAAGAAGATGCCTTTGAGACATCCCTAAGACTTGGTCTGGAAGTTGATATAGGATTTTCCATCTGCAGTAGAGGAAAGAGCCTTGATCAGAGATTTGGGAAATAAATATGGATACCTATGTCCTCTGCGAGCACGTGTGTGCCTTTGGTAAACCCGTTCTTGTGGTGGGCCTCAGTTTTCACATCTGCAAAATGGGGCAGTGAAAGAGATGATGGCAAAGCTTCCTTCAAGCACAACAGTTCATGATTCTCTTGTTTTCAGGCCAGGATGAGCAGAGAATAATGATGTTGTCATTCATACATTCAAGAAATATTTGAGACTGATGAGGTGGCAGACAGTGTGCTACAATAAGCATTTTCCTTCCTTCAGTGGGGAGGATTAGGTCCTGGTCCCCAGAACAAGTTTGTTGGCCTCCCTGCTGGAGAGGAGATTTTCACCTTCATTCTTATTCTCCTAAGAACCAGGCCCATTAAGCATGATTAAAAACAGGTCTTATCTGGAATTGAAGCTGGTGCTCTGAGATGAAAATCCAAGGTACCGTGGACCAAATTTCTTGTAAGGTTACAAAAACTCGCAGGATGCTGGCCTTGCTCTACATAGGTCTGTGCTCATAGTGAGGTATTAAGACTCATCATTTATCTTCATTGTGGTAATTTGTTCTTTTATTAAAAAATTTTTGGATGTGCACTTTTTACCTTACTTTACTCTTAGAAAGCTGGTAGTTTTGACAAATTCACAAAATGTGTTTCTAATTCCATTCTGTTTCTATGCATTCCAGTAATTCTCACATTATTTCTGGAAGATTAGCAGACACACAGTTGTAGTGACATAATTAGTATTCAGAGGAGATAATAATGTCAAGGGATTTTGTTGCTCTTAGAACCTAAACGAAAATTCAAGGATGGTGAAAGTTGGATTTGTGATAATTTCTTGGCATAAATTGGGCGCTTGTTCAAAAAAGTTTTAATGCCATAAATGAGATTGTTTTATGCAAATGTGTTGGATGAATCACTTAGAAGAAAGTAGATTTTTTTTTCTTTGCTTTATCCATAGCCTCCTATCTGTAAGGGAAAAGCATTGCTCTTTCTGTAGAATTCCCTTTCTGCTATGAAATGGTTAATCCTGAGAACTGTTTCAGGCAATAAAACACTGACTGGAATCTTTCCGACAATACTTTCCTTCTTGATCTTTTTTTATGACTAATTGAAATGAAAGCCTTGGGAAGCTTAATGTTAAGGAAACACTCCGCACTCTGTGATGTGATTCTGTGAAGGGGGTGTCTGTGTGGTGGGGAGCTCTCTGCTCTGGAATTTTAAGTTAGAGACCTAACCAAAGAATCAATATTTCAATTAGATGTTGTAGTGGGTTTGGGATTACTGTTACTGTAGCTGGAAGATTACTCGGTCTTTTCTTGGGAGGGGTCATTACTGTGAGCTGTTTTTTATTTTCTTTTTAATCATAACTCTCAGAGTCTGTTTGCTCTGTCTGCATGAACCACTGAAGTGACTAGCTAGAAAAGAGTGAAAAATGTCCATTATTAGTACTTCCCTAAAGGCTGCTAACAGCATGCTCGTTAGTAGCCGCTTGAGAGAAAACAGCCATTATCTCTTATTTTGTAGAGTCCTGGGAGCAGTGACCCTTTGAGTTGGCAGGACCAGTTCCAAATACTCGTGCTTCACTGGTCACCTGGAGGCGTGGTTAGGGAGGAGGTGATGGGGGACACAGTGTGAGTGGGCCTCCAGGACGCTTCCCCCCCCGCCCCCCCGGATTCAGTCAACCAGAGTAGTTACCTCTTGATCTGTTTTATATATTGTTTTATGTGAAATTTTATTTGAAAAATGATTTTTTTATTCATAAACCATGAGCGAAAATGATGCTAAGTCAACCTTCCTGGGCTTTCTCACAGAGCATCATCCAGTTTCTATTGAACCATTTCTGGGGTAGGGCACTCATGACTTTGTCATTTTATGTAAAATCACCATCGGCACCACCTCCACCAAAATGGTTTACTTCTCAGGATTTGAAATATTTGGACCAAGTTCTTATCACCTGCCTTTGAAAGCTTTACCTCAGGGGGCCGGCCCAGTGGAGCAGTAGTTAAGTTTCTGAGCTCTACTTCAGTGACCTGGGATTCCCTGGTTCAGATCCTGGGTAAGGACCTACATACCACTCATCAAGCCATGCTGAGGCAGCATCCCACATAGAAGAACTAGAAGGACCTACAGCTAGGATATACAACTATGTACTGGGGCTTTGGGGAGAAAAAAAATAAAAAAGAGGAAGATTGGCAACAGATGTTAGCTCAGGGCTAATCTTCCTCACCAAAGAAAAGCATATCTAAGACCACATTGGCCATGACTTAAGGATTAAAAATAAAAAAAAGAAAACTTTACCTCATCAGAACCACATTTTGTCACCGGATGCTATTTCACAGTATGGCCAAGAATAGTTGTTATTACAATCCTGGGAATAAATGGAATGTCTTTCCCTCTTCCTTCTGATTTTCCAAAAGAGACTCAGCAACTCCATGAAGTGAGAATTCTTCCAGTCCTTTTTATCTGTGTTTCTCTCAACACTTGCAGCATTTTAATCTGAAATGTGTACCATATAATGTAGAACATGATCTGAAAGAGATATCCAGAAGTATTTATTCTTATTCAACAATCTTATGTTCCCAAACCATCGACTCCATCAGTACTGGTATTGCACCAGGATAGAGAAAGCAAAGAGTGTTGGCTAAGTTATAGAAAAGCATGTCTTTGTGTATGTTTTTCTTACCAGCTCTTTGAGAGCAGAGATTACATTTTCTCCCACTGTCTATCCGCAGCCTCTAGAGCACTGTGTAGCGCACAATAGGTACTGAACAAATGCAATTTGTTTAATCTGGAATCAGAACACCTGTGTTTGAATCTCTTCCAAGTCATTTACTGGCTGTTTGACCTTCAACAAAGCATTTCACTCCTCTGAGCTTCCACGTCCTCAAATGTAATTTAGTAGGAATAAGAATATTATCTCAGATTGTTGAAAGAATTGAATGAAAGACCATGAAACATTGTCAAAAGCCCGAGTGAAGAAATAAACAAATTATTTGAAGGATTTACAGTCTAAGCATTTATCAAGATATTTAAAACTTTGTCTTAGGATCAGATTAAATCATAAGACAGTCGTATACTTGCAACATATTATTTGGCCCCTCACAGACTCTCCTTTGTTAAATTATTTTTAATTAAAATTTTTAATTATTTCAATGTATACTGAAATAGACTATAACAAACAGTTATGAGGATATTACAATTGTATTTCCTGTAGAAATGTTGACAAGGAAAACATTGTACTGCAATGCTCCTAACTCTGTCTATACTCATTTAATGTTTAGTGCTATAAAAAGATTTAATTCTTTTAAAGGACTGGTATGTTTTGATATTTGAAAATGATATAACTATGTTACCATTTTTCCTTTGGCTGCTGGGAAGCTTAGAGCAAAATCTGAGGCTTAATTAGAGGAAATTCAATCACCAAAAACAACAATAAGGTAATTGATGTGGTCGTTCTTTTTGGCTTGTATTACATAGTCTTGATTTATTTTTTAACTTATACTTTTACCTATCCAGGAGTTGATCCACATTTGTGGGAGATATTTTTAAATTGTTTTATTGAATGTGTTTCTCAATTACTTGTGGAACAATTAACTAGAATGATAAATGAAATAGCTGGATATAAAATTACATTTAGTGAAATTTAAACATCTATGGTTGAAATGGCTAGTCCTGGCTCAACTTCTGAAAAATTCAGAACAAAGTTGACATGGACTCTAACAGATGTCTTATTGTTAGAATCTAGAATGAATTTCTGGCTAGCTATAAGATTGATTGAGTTGGACCAAGGAAAACAATTAGTGATAGATCCATGATTCATTAAAGGAAATTAGGGTGCTCTGCCCGCCTGATGAATTACAACCCACTATCACATTCTTAGAGATTAGGGCTCTAGAATAAGGTGTTAAATGTATGAGCTGTGGCTGGAAGAATGTGTATTTCATTGGCTCAGAGTGACAAAAGTTCAGGTGTCGATAACTTCCTTGTAGTGAGCACTGGGGGAGGAAGGGGAGGTGATATTCCATATCTAACTTCTCTTCCTCTCTAGGGATATTCCCATTATGTGTGTAGGTATGGTGGGATGCACACCTCACTCAACTCTGTGTGAAAGATGAAATCTGGGAGATTCTCATGGCATCTTATACTGGCCTAGGGCATGAGTCCCTGACTTAAGTTGATCTAATTTGAATGCAGTTTGAGACTTCAGTTTTATGATTTTAAGAAAAGAAACTCAGAATTTTTTGGATACTGAAGTATATAGAACTTTCACAGCCACAAAGTCCAGCAGAAAATAAATGTGCATACAAGGAGGTGGGAAGTGCTGAGAGAAAGGCAGAAAGTGAATCTAGAGCCCTGATCCTACAGTACCTGAACCCTAATCCATCTTTGAAATTACTAGTTATTGTTTAAATTGTTAGGTTTTATGTTGTTTGCCATCAAAGCACTCTAACTGGTATAACCCTCACCCCCAGGTATGATAGATCTGTGTATCTATGTATGAAGGTCTAGTAGATGCTGTCAATGGTTTAGAGGCTGTATCATATCCGTTATGCTCTACTGAGGAAATCATGAACATCAATGCTAGAAAATCCATTATAATTAGTATGGGAAAAAAGTGTAAAGTGAAAACAACATAGAGCCCGTGAAAATTATCGTAAGCTAAATAATACATCAAAACTTAGAGGAAGCACAGTTGTTGGAAAATGACTTACCACTGGATCCAAAAGAATATTTTAGGAATCATTTTTGAAATCTCAATAATGTCAAGAGAACATGGCCTCTTTGGGAGAACATAAACTGATATGAAAGCTAATAGGATGAGAAATATCACAGTATAAATTTGAAAGTCAAAAGGGTAAGATGTAGGGGCTGGCGTGGTGGTTTAGCAGTTGGATTCGCATGCTCTGCTTTGGCGGCCTGGGGTTGCCAGTTCGGATCCTGGGTGCAGACTTATGCACTGCTAATCAAGCCATGCTGTGGCAGGCGTCCCACATATAAAGTAGAGGAGGATGGACATGGATGTTAGCTCAGGGCCAATCTTCCTCAGCAAAAAGAGGAGGATTGGCAGCAGATATTAGCTCAGGGCTAATCTTCCTCAAAAAAAGAGAAAAGGATAAGATGTAAAGGCAACAAAATGGAATGAGGAGGTAGCTGAGTGAGGAAAAGGAGGATTGAAAGGAAGCTAATATTTCAATCAGAGTATTAAATCTGTATTTGAGGAAGTAAAGAGTAGATTGATCTTAGGAAATCAAATTAGTTATGTGGAAATTAAACTTCAGATGCATTCTGAGAGAGAGAGAGTGAGAAAGGTTATCTATAAATGGAGGAAAATATTTTTCTCTATTTAGTTAGGTGATAGGTAATTTTTTCTTCTTTTGTTTGTTAGTTTTTAAAAACATGTCTTCTTTAATGGATGCATTAAGTTTGAAAGAAAAAAATTTGCTTTTGAAATTGTGTTTTTAATATATATTCCACTCCTAAGTACCTACTCAACCCAATATCCCTTGGTATACAAAAAAACAAACAAACAAACAAACAAAAAACCCCAGGATAATCTTAATTTGCATAGGAAGGAACAATCAAAAGACTGCTACACCATGGTAATACAGATGTTGAAATTATCTAATAAAACTTTAATGCAACTATTGTAAAAATGCCTCAAGAATAATCACAAACACTGCTAAAATGAATAGAAGTATAGACAGTCTCACCAAAAGTGTAAGGTGAAAAGAAGAAGCAAATGAAAATTTTGGAACTGAGAAGCACAAAAACAAAAGTAAAAAAAATTACCTAGATGGGCTCAATAGCAAAATAAATATAATGGAGGAGAAAGTGAATGAACTTGAAGATAGATCAATAGAAAGTATCCATTCTGAACATTATAGGCGGATAATACGAAAAGATCTACTGTTCCTGTCTTTAGAGTTCAAGGAGGAGAGGAGAAAGAGTACAATGCTGATAAAATGTTTGAAGAAATGTGACTGAAAACTTCCCAAAGTTGACAACAGAAGCAAATCTATACATTTAAAAAGAGTAGTAAAGCCAAAGAGGGTAAACCCAAAGAAATCTATGCCCAGACATATCATAATAAAATTGATGAAAACTAAAAATAGAGAAAAAAAATGGAAAGCAGCTGGAGAAAATGGATACTCTACTTGGGATGAGAACAATGATTCAAACGGTAGCAGATTTCTCATTAGAAACCAGAGGGTCCAGAAGGAAGTGACACAACATTTTTAAACTGCTAAACATAAAATGAAATTCTATATCCAGTGAAAATATCCTTCAGCAATTAAGATGAAATAAAGCCATGCTCAGATGAAGGATGTCTAAAAGAATTTGTTCCCAGCAGAACTGCTTTAAAAGAATTGCTACAGGAAATTTCTTTAGACAGAAAGAAAATGATTGCAGAGAGAAACTTGGAGCATCAGGAATAAAGGAAGTACAACAGAAGTTGAAAATATCTGGGTTTATCTGTAATATTTTTATCTATAATAAAAATTATAGACTATCCTTCTCCTCTTGGGTTATTTGAATTGTTTGTTGGTTTAAAGCAAAAATTATAACACTGTCTGATAGGGTATTCAATGTAAATAGATGTAATACGTAAGCCAACAGCATCATAACAGGAAGAGGGTAAAAGGATTTTTATGGTGGTAAAGTTTATACATTCCACATGAATTGATAAAATATTAATTTCAATTAAACTGTTTAAAGTTAAGTATATATATTGTAATACCTAAAGAAACCTAAAAATGCATACAAAGAGATATTTGAAAACACAATAGATAAATTAAAATAGAATACTAAAAATATTCATATAATCCAAAAGAAGGCAGAAAGTGGGAAATAGAGAAAATGAAAAAGAGGAAAAAAACAGAAACAAATAATAAAATGGAAATATTAAACCCAAACATATAAATACTTGCATTAATTGTAAATGGCCTAAACACACCAAGTAAAAGACAGAGATTGTCAGGATGGATTCAAAAGCAGTAGTCAACTATATGATGTCTATGAGAAACTCACTTTAAATATAATGATATAGATATGCTAAGTGTATGTGGAAAGGAGTATAAGGATGGAAAAATATATACCATGCAAACACTAATCAAAAGTGGAGTAGCTATATTTATATCAAAGTAGACTTTTGAGCAAAGAAAATTTTCAGAGATAAATAAGGACATTACATAATGATAAAAGTGCCAATTTGTCAAGAAGACATAGCAATCTTGAATATGCATGCGTCAAAGAAGAGAGCTTCACAATATGCACAGCAACAATCATCAGAATGGAAAGGAGAAATAGATACTTCTATAGTTATAGTTAGAGACTTAAAAACTCCTTTCTCTATAATTGATATAAGTACAGAGAAAAATTTTCAAGTCTATAGAACTGAACACCAGCACCAACCAACTGGATCTAATTGACATTCATAAAATACTTGACCCAACATCAGCAGCTACACCCTTCTTTCCAATTGCACATGGAATATTCCTCAAGATAGATCATAAGAGCTAAAAGAATTTGAATCTTATGTAGTATTTTCTTGGACCTTGATGAAATTAAAGTAGAAATGAATAACAGAAAGGCAACAGGCAAATCTCCAAAAACTATGGGTCAAAGAGGAAATTTTAAGAGAAATTAGAAAATATATTGCACAGAATGAAAATGAAAACAGAACATATCAAAATTTCTGGGATACAGGTAAGCAGTGCTGAAAGGAAACTTTATAGCATTAAATGCTTTTAGAAAAGTCTTAAGTCAATGATCCAAGCTTCCACCTTAAAAAGAAGGTGGGAGAAGAAGAGAAAAAGAAACACAAACCAAGCAGAAGGAAGGAAATTATAAAGAACAGAAATCAATGAAATCAAAAAGAGAAAAACAGTAGAGAAAATTGACTATATGAGAACTGGTTCATTAAAAATATCATAAAGTTAATATAGCTCAAGCAAGCTTGAAAAAGAGAGACAGAGCGAGAGAGAAATAAATTACCAATACCAGAAAGAAAAAATAGGATATCACTTCGGACTCTGCAGACATTAAAACCACAAACAACTCTATACATATAAATGTGATAATTTAAATGAAATAGATCAATTTTTGAAAACCACAAGTTACTGAAACTCATTCTAATTGAAACAGATAATCTAAATAGCCCTATAACTATTACAGAAATTGAATTCATAGTTAAACATCTTCTGAAATAAAATCTTCAAGCCTGGATGATTTCATTGGCAGATTCTATCAAACATCTAAAGAATAAATAACCCCAATTTTAGACAATCTTTTCCAGAAAATAAAAGATGAGGAAATACTTTCCAACTCATTTTACAAGGCCAACATTACCCTACTACCAAAACCAGACAAACACAATACAAGAAAAGAAAATTACAGCCTAATATTCCTTATGAACCTATCACAAAAACCTTCAACA